ACATGTACTTGAATGTTAGGTATAAAGGTAGTCCATAAATGCATATTTTTGACTCCTCCACAATTTTTTATTTACTATATAAACATGGCTTAAAAGCCAACAAAATGTATGTGATGTGAAACATATATATCAATGATATGGCCTGGCTTGCATGCAACTTTTTGAAAAGTTAAGATACAAACTAAGTGTACTAGTTTTTCCTAAAGTTATCATATCTTATTTTTTTCTTTCAATAAGAGGGTAATGATGACCCTGGATCACTCACCTAAGATCATTGTTGGAAAACAGGTAACAAGATCATTTTGAGTGTGTCAATTATGTCATAACACATGATAATTGGTGTCATAATTGAATCCGGTTGTTTTTAAAGAAACATGCTCAATATCTGCTTTCAATTTTTTATTTCACACGAGAGAACTTTAATAACCATATCTATATACGAGTCCATATAAACTTAGTGACCTTTTGTGTTTGGTAAATTTGGACCATGTTGTCCATGATATATCATTATTATAACATAATTATGGTGATACATGATTAATGTATATGCGTCGGATAGTGTAGGTTAAGAGAAAACAGATTTATTACAGTAGTCTTTGTAAATTAAGTGATACCATTGCAAAACCATTTTAGACTGCAGTAGCATCATACAAATTTATGCATGTCATATCAGTCTACATCCCAAATATCTTATTTCAAGTCAATGAAGTTTAACACTAGATGTTTTTAATGTGTTTTCCTATACAAGTCTGTGAACCCAGGTGGCTCTATGAGCATGATTCATTAAATGTGTTTAATAAAGACCCAAGGTGGTGCTACATGCCAGCTTAGTACCTGTGCTCTATGCATTTTGATTTTTGAGAAGATTTTTTTATTGCATGTCCACTTAATGATACAAAAGTGTTTTATGTAACTTTAAAGAGGTCTTCTTTACTTGGCAAGGTTCTATTTTGAATATAGCTATATTATGACTAAAGCTCTAGGCATTACAGTTTTTTTGTTTGTTGATTTTTTAATAACATCAACAACAAAACAACTTCAATGCGATTCCCTACACAAGTCTTTAAAAACTGTGTTCCTCGTGATGGCCTTTAAATCATGTTTCCTGCAGTCCAAAATGGCTTTTCCTGTCACTTAGTTTACATTGACTTATATATTAAAATTCTTCTCCGAAACTATGTGCACAGAGAAGAGATAATATTGTATATCATAACATTGTGATGCTACATAAAGATTATAAACTATTGGCATAGGGTCAAGATCACTTAGTTTACATGTACTTTTATTGGAATATAGTTATATGAGTCTTCTTGTAGTTCCGAGAGCCTAGTTATTGGACATGATTCTTTAAATCATGACTGGTGAAAAAAGATACTCCTTATATGATATTAGCATTCTTCAGTATAAAAGAATTATAGACCTTTTCCAGCAGTGGGTCTTAGGCGCCGTGATCTAGGGTCAACAATGCTCTCTTGTTTTATGGGAAAAATAAAGTAGGAATACATTTAGTTTATATTCCAAAGTACATGTATAAGCTATGTTTGTTTTGTGGGTCAAGCGGTTTTATTGATAGCTATTTTAGCACACCTAGTCATTAGATAATATGATGTATCAGTCGCCTAAATTTTTGTTTCTTTTGAAAAATATCATGTCTACATAAGTTATTAGAAATGGACGGTACTTATTCAATTATACTTGGTTACAATGATGTGCAAGTAAATATAAACTTTGAATCATTCTGTTACAAGCTTTTAGCAAGACTAAATTGTGCAGGAAGTAATTGTATTCATAAATAGACAACATTTCACTAAGGGTTTAGGCATGATTTTATCTAACATATGGTTCGTTGATGAATATTCAGTCTTCTTTCTGTACAATTATCAAGTTATATTATGACTATTGAAATAACTTATATCATGCAAACACATTTAATAACTGAATGTATACATATGATTGTATCTGCATTTATTGATATTTTAGTACACCCTCTAGACCTAAAAGGAAAACTAAAATACCTTAATACAATAAGATACTTTTACAGTGAATATTTGCATAAGAATTCTTAAAAAACGTTATTTTGTACTACAATTGTCTGATAAATTTACCCCACCCACTTTAAATAAGTATAAAAACCTTCACATTTTGTTTGTTTTTGTTACAATTATACAATAAAACATAGTGTTGATTGAATACCAAATACACTTTAAGAAACTATGTTACTTTGGAATTTTGTACAAAGACCTAGAAAACCATGTTAGAGAAAAATGAAAAAAATGGCACTTTTTCTTTGATTTTTTTAAAGATTTTTTTGTCAAAAACTAAAAACATGACTAACAATGTGGTTCACCTAAAATTTGATTTTTTTTCTAATATATTTCACAATTTTATATGGAAAATACGCATACCTGTGTGCAAAAATTATACTAAAAAAGAGATATATCAGTTTTCATTTAAATTGGCAAGCCATATTGGACGCCATCTTGGATTCTGAAGAAATATGCAAGAGAAATTGCTTAAAGATTTAAATTTTTGAAAAGGGGAAACTATATGCAAGTTTCAGGTCTTGTACAAAAAATTGGAATGAATGATCTATTATGGTACATCAAATTTATATGGCGGCCATTTTGAAAATGGCGGCCATCTTGAATGAGCAGAGATATTTTTGGGCCCACTTCACTTTTTGAAATCTACATGGTCTAAAGAATAATTTCCTGAAAGTTTCATGCTTGTATCACAATTTGCACTATTTTGACAGCAGAGACCTTATTTCCCGCCCCACTACAGTAGATGACCCCTATTGATTTTGGGGAACAAGGGGTCAATGTCATATTGACCCTGTACTTAATGGCGGTTTCTGACCAATATCTCAACAACTCAAGTTGCCTTGGTTGATATTTTTTATTTAACTAAAAATGCTTTTGGTATACACATTTAAAGGTCTTATGTAATATAACAACTTGGCTGTCATTAATGAGGTCCTACATGATTCATAAAATTTTATGCATATATTATTATTGGTAAGATTTGTAATAACTTAAATTGCTGCACACAACCTATGGGGTCACAATAATTATTACCTTGTGACTAGTCATGACCAGTAGATACTAGATAACCCTTATTAATTGTTTGTTCACTGGGTCAGAAGTCATGCATAATAACCTGAATCACATGACTAATTGGCTGCTGATAGGGGGCATACATGTTTTAACAAACATATCAGGGATAAAAAAATAACCATTTAAGCTTGGTGGCCACCTGGGCCACTGACTGTAAAATTTTGGTGGCCCAGTAAATATATTAGTGGACCAACAATTTATGAACGGAAACGGGACTAGCACTGGCAAAATTATTTTTAGCTATTTTTTTAGCAGCGAAAATTGCGTGCCTGTATTTTATTTCAAATAAGGCAAAAATGTACGGCATGAGGTATTCAGAAAAACATAAACTATGTTGTCCACTTTTATTTTGGTACCTACATTTTTTATCACATTAACACATCAAACTTATAATATATAATTTACAGTCAATAATCATAAAAGCTTCCAGCTCAGTGTAAACTTTCTATAACATTTGCCTGGTTCTGGTTAGGTCAGTGGCATGATAGTAACAGCAGAAACACATTCCAATGTGCTGCTTCAGCTTGCTTTGTTAATGACAAAGATTTGGCTTGAAGACTATCTGTATCTGAAATAATACAGAAGAAACAAGTTTAAAAGTAAGAAGAGTGAAGAAAATAATATTGAAAATTCTAAACTAAAGACAATTAAGGAATAAAATCACATGTACTACTGTCTAAGTGTATAGGAATCTGAAGGCATTTTGTATGCTTCTTAACTGAATCTTTCTTTAATATTTCACAGTCATAAGCCATTTATAAATGAATACTTCTGCAAGAGCTTTATGGGTTACAGAACTGAAATTGGATTTTAAGCCAAATCAAGGTCATTCTTTTTTTCCCAGGAATTCTCTGTAAAGCCAAATGTCAAATAAATTCCTTGTAAAGGCATAATTTGGTCAGAATTAAATGGCAATCAACCCCTCCCCCAAAAAATATAAAAATGAAAAAAAAACCAACACAAAAATAAAAACAACCATTACTCTTAACTAATAATTTCTTTGATCTGTTAATCAACAACGATAAGATTTACTGAATGCAAACTTACCGTCAACAGGTCATGTTATCAACTGCAGTACATAATTTGTCGCTATTTCATACCCAACTTCTGATTTGATTAGCGATAATCTTGAGTAATCTTGGGATGCCGCTACTTATTTTTCATATTAAATATTAAGACCCAATTTTCCAATGCATATTCAACAATCTGCCAGGTATGTTCACGACAATTAGTGTCATATTTATCAGCTGATGTAAACAAACGGTGAGGGCCAGTGTATAAGACTGTGTTAATGTTCATATCCATATTTAATTCAGAAGGGAAGTAAAAAAATAAACCAGTCAATGATCCACAAGAAGTAGACTGTGTCGCTGTGTTTTGAGATAAGAAGCGGTAAAGCGGAAATTAAAAATGGAAAACCAAATGTGTACTTTTCCATTCTTAAAATAGCAAATGCTAAATTTAGACTGGAGATTCCAAAAGTCATACTTTTTGTAAGTTTGAGCCAATCGTGATTTTCTTGAGCCAATTTAATAATTTTGGAGCCAATTTGCTCATTTGCTCCTTTGAATTTTCACGTGAGTTGATTTAATGGCGGATATTAATTTAATCTACAGCAGATTTTTTAAGTCGCTGACTGGACAACTATTTTGAAATTTTTAGTGGTCCAATTACAAATTAGGTAGCCGTGGGCGACTGGGCGACCGCTAATTTTCAGCCCTGCATATCTTAACGTTAAAATTAACAGTTTCTTCTACATTTACAAAAGTTAAATCAGTGTTTTCATCTGATACCATCAATATTACACAAAAACTTAGCAAATTAATCTTTTTTCTTTCTGTTCTGGGTTTTTTTTTTGTAAATACTGGGCATGGAAAACAATAAATGTTGCGATAAATTACATTTAGGTTAAACCACACTATAATCTAAATAACACTCTAAATCTGTCAGTTTAAAGTTGTGCTATTCCTTAATGTTTGTAGTATTGTGGCAGCAGCTGGAAGTAATGGAGATGATGGTAGTGATGATGGTTTTGCTTTTAAGAGAAAGGAAAAATCTGCAGAGGAGAAGTGTGTTGAGCAGACTGACTACTTAGATTGGTTGAAGGGACAAAAGGAAAAATTGGATAGAGGAAAAGAAATTGGAGTAGAATTGGTATGTAGATTGCTAGAATAAATGGTCTTAAATAAGTGGTTGTATCAGTAGAGTGCTAGAATAAATGGTCTTAAATAAGTGGTTGTATCAGTAGAGTGCTAGAATAAATGGTCTTAAATAAGTGGTTGTATCAGTAGAGTGCTAGAATAAAAATGGTCTTAAATAAGTGGTTGTATCAGTAGAGTGCTAGAATAAATGGACTTAAATAAGTGGTTGTATCAGTTTCAATATTTACATATCTGCTACTATTCTGTTGAGACAGTAAGCTAGGATGATTAGCTTTTAGCTTACATGAGCACAAAGTGCTCATGGGTGAGCTTTTGTGATCACTCTTTGTAGTTCGTAGGGTTTCTTAATCACACAAAAATCATAATCGATCATTTTCGATCAATCATGGATTATATAATTGAAACATTTACAATAACAAAGTAAATATGTACAATGTTCATATCATGCTTTAATTAATATTTATAAGAATTCCATTAATATTCTATATTTTGTGTCACTACCACTTTATCAACTGAAATAAACTAGTTTAAAGATATTATTCTATGCTCATCCTTCAGTAAAATATTTTAATCAAATAAATTCATTAATATCTGTGAAATTGTGAAGTCTCAATTCCAATAAAGGAATGAATAAACTATGTATGGGAACAAGTTAAGTTGGTCCTTTCTTAACAAAACTGCATGTTTTTTTTAGCTCACCTGACCACAAAGTGGTCAAGTGGAGGTATAGTGATGGGGTTATGTCCATCGTCGTGCGTCATGTGTTGTGTGTCGTGTGTTGTCAACAATTAGGTTGTTAACACTCTAGCAGTCACAGTCTTGATTGGATCATAATCAAACTTTGTCAGAATGTTTGATTCAAATAATACAGGCCAAGTTCAAATATGGGTCTTCTCGAGTCAAAAACTCTGTCACAGGAGCTAGAAATTGAAAAATCTTGTTAACACTCTAGTAGCTGCAGTTTTGATCCAAATATCCTGGAAATTGATCAGGAGGGTTTTGATGATTTCTAGGTCATGTTCGAATATGGGTTGTCTCTGGTCAAAAACTAGTTCGAATATGGGTCACATGGGGTCATAAATAGGTCACACTGCCCAAATATAGATAACCTTGTTAACACTCTCGAGGTCACATTTTTTACTCAATTGTCATCAAACTTGGTCAGGATGCTTGTCTAAGACATTGCTCGGATGAGGTTGATTGGTCAGGGGAGCCATCTAGGGCCATCTTGGCCCTATTGTTTAATGACACTATATATTGATATTGTAACCACCTTTACTGTGTAGAATAATTTTATACATAACATCTTCTTTGTGTGAAGTCAAAACATGTTTATTTTATATTTACAAATAGACTGTGTAGCAATCTTAAATATTTTCTGATGTCAAATTTGAGCATAGTATATCTTTAAACTAGAATGCCTCACTGTCAACTATTAACTCCATTATCACCAGTATGCTTTCATATTCATTTGAATTCAACCAAGGCTTTAATTTAGAGTGTTGCTTTAATTTAGAGTGTTGTCATAATACAGTGATTCACTTACGTAATAGCAAGAAAATAATTAGCGATAATCGATTATTAAACTTTGTACTTGATCATCGTCGATTTGTCCTGTAAACGATTAATTTTCAATTATACTCTATCATCGTTTAATCCCTAGTAGTGCATCGTTCAAATCTGTATAATTCTGTTGAGACAGTAAGCTAGGATGATTAGTTTTTAGCTCTCCTGAGCACAAAGTGCTCAAGGGTGAGCTTTTTATTTCGTAAATACTTAATCCACCTGAAACTGCTTTAGATAATCTCTTTCTGACCATATTAACTGTATATGTCATTATCTCCCCAACGGTACAACACATTCAACTCAAACTTGACATATGGATATGTCATGAGAAAAAACAGGTCAAGTTCGAATCTGGTCATGGTTCGATGATTTTTTGGCAGAGTTATGCCCCTTTTACTTTGAAAATAATATGAAATTTTCAGTTTCCGTTCATTATCTCCCCAACAGTACAACACATTCAACTCAAACTTGGCATATGGATATGTCATGAAAAAAATACAGGTCAAGTTTGATTTTGGTCATGGTTCGATGATTTTTGGCAGAGTTATGCCCCTTTTACTTTGAAAACAATATGAAATATTCAGTTTCCGTTCATTATCTCCCCAAAGGTACAACACATTCAACTCAAACTTGACATATAGATGCGTCAAAGGAATGCGCAGGTCAAGTTCAAATTTGGTCATGGTTCAATGATTTTTGGCAGAGTTATGCCCCTTTCACTTTGAAAGTAATATGAAATTTTCAGTTTCCGTTTATTATCTCCCCAATGGTACAACACATTCAACTCAAATTTGACATATGGATATGTTTTTGGGATGCCCAGGCCAAGTTTGAATTTGGTCATGGTTCAATGATTTTTGGCAGAGTAATGTCCCTTTCACTTTGAAAATAATATATGAAATTTACAGTTTCTGTTGATCATCTACCCAACAGTGTTACATATTCAACTTAAATTTGACATATGGATATGTCAAAGGAATGGGCAGGTCAAGTTGGAATTTGGTCATGGTTTGATGATTTTTTGGCAGAGTTATGTCCCTTTCACTTTGAAAATAATAATTATAGATACATCTTAGGAATAAGCAGTTTAAGTTTGAATTTGGTTGTGGTGCAATGATTTTAGACAAACTTATCTTTCCTGAATGTTGGAATAATTTTGAACTTTCAGTTTCAGCTCTCATACTTTTAGCCATTATTTTGGCTACAAATATGCAATATGCTATTTTTAAAAGGTTAAGACTGAATAATTTCAGTGCCTTGAACATTGTATGAAAATGGTTTGTGTTAACATTGAAAAGTTTTAAGGGCTTTGAACTTAAAATGAAAAAAATAATTAATGCACCATCTGAAATTTTGGCTGCATGCGGGGGCATCCGTGGCATGATGACACATTTCTAGTTTGAAAAAAAAGTAGAGGTATTGTTATAGTCCTGGCGGCGTTGCCTTCCACAAACTTGTACCTGGATCATAACTTTTTATGCTCCAGCAAAGTGGGAGCATATAGCATTGCACTTGTCCGTCCGTATGTCTGTCCGTATGTCCCGAAATCTTGTGAACGCAACTCCTCTTAAACCTTATTGCAGATATTGCTTAAACTTCTAGGGATGAACAACCTTAATGTGTAGATGGTAGTAAAGGAAGGAATTTTCGCTGCGACCAAATTTAACAGAATTTATAATGGCCCTTTGTTGATTTTTTCACTATAAACTGTGTAGAAATTTTGTGAACACAACTCCTCTTAAACCGGATGGCAGATTTTGCTTAAACTTCCAGGGATGAACAACCTTAATGTGTAGATGGAAGTGAAGGAAGGAATTTTTGTTGCGACCAAATTTAACAGAATTATGGCCCTTTGTTGATTTTTTCACTATATACCATACATATGTTGTCAGTGGGGGCATCTGTGTCCTTTGGACACAGTTCTAGTTTAGTTCTTGGTGTATTGTCTTCATACTTGGCCACAACAACTCTTGGGACAAGACCTTTCAGTAGACCCCACTAACCTTGACCTTCATCCATAAATGACCTTGACCTTCAAGGTCAAAAGTCCAAATTTTGCTTGTTCTTGCTATTATTGGCTGTAACTTTGTTATTTTTTTAATGGCAATTGGTCTTCAAACTTTTAACATAATAATCTTCAAGGATGCCTTTTAAAATAACCAGACAGACCTTGAAAACCTTCACGTCATAAATAACCTTGACTTTCAAGGTCAAATTTTGAAATTTTCATTTTTTTGGCTGTAAAACTGGACTGTTTAACTTTGCTATTATTAATGGATTGGACTTCATATTATAACAAGAACATTCTTAAGGACAAGACCTTCATGTTGACAAACTCAAATTTTTCCCCTTGGGGCCATTTTAAGGAACCTTTGGACCTTTGAAGGTTTTTTTAAATTAAATTTAATTTTTACTGATTTGTGCCCTTTTAAATGACCATATTTATTGGTGTTGTTTTTATTTCACAAGTAAAAACCCTTTTTTTTGTTTTAACCCCCCGTTTTAAAATTTAAACATGGAGCTTAAATAAACATAAAAATTTTTCTTTTAAGAAAAAACACAATATTAAAAAGTTTCGATAATTTTGGCCAAAAATTTTTTCTTCCCCGAGGGAAGGCTTTTTTAAAAATTAATTTGCCTTTTCCATTTTTTACCCCCCGGGTCTCCCCTTTTTAAATTATTTTGCGTGAATTGTACAAAATTTAAAAAAGGGAACCCCCCCTTTTAGGAGTTTGGCTTTCTTTTTGGTTTTTGCAAAAAGCACATTAGGATCTAAATTTTTTGCACCAATTTTTTTTGTTTTGTTCCGACGAACCCAAACAAATTTAAAAAAACAGGTAAAAACCCTGTCGGGCATTCACAGGTCAAAATGCTTGGGGTGAAATTTTCAATAAAATTCACCCCAAGGGAAAATTTAAAAACAGTTTCCCTTTTTGTTGTTTCCCTAAAAAGGGTTTGACATTAACTTTGTTTCAAAAATGGCCCCAAAACCAATTAAACTATAAATTTAAAAAATTTTTCTCCCCGCTTTTTTTTTGGTCAAAAACTTTCCCGCAAGAAATTTAAAAAACTAAACAAAAAATTTACTGGGCAGTATTATTTACCATTGGTTTTTTTAACCCCCTTTTCGTTAAAAGAAAAAAACATTTTTTTTTTTGGGAAAAAAAATAAAAAAAAAGGAAATAACTTTATAATTAAAACACAACATCCTTTTTTACAGGACCCCTTCATATATATCAACAATCAAAATTGATCTTGACTTACGTTTGACCTCGACTTTGAAGGTCAAATTATTATGCCCCCACTTCAAAGAAGAGGGGTAATATTCTTCTGCTTTGTTCTGTCTGTGGTTCCGTCCATCGCGTCTGTAGGGCCAAAAAGGTTGTCAAAGTAATAATAAAGAAAGTTTAGGCCTAAAGGGAACTT